CTACCTTACCTTGTTGTCCCAAAGCGAGAGGTGCGCCTTGGACATGTGCTCTGACCGGACACACACACATACACATACAGGCACATAGCGCACACACACACACACACACACACACACACGTGTGTGTGACTTGACGTGCCTCTGAGCGAGAAGTAGCAGAAATCGAAACACCCAAACTCCAGGCCGCTGCTCATCTCGACTATCGGCTCCTACACACACACCCACACATATTGTGTTTTGTGGTGTGCGCGATATGAGCGTACAGTGGTGCAGAAGAGTCCGAATCTGCAGTCTTGGCACTCGCGCGTCCTGAACTGCTGGCAGATGACCAACACGTCGCACCCCTTGCAGTTGCGGAAGAAGATGCTGCACACACAAGCAACAGAGAGAGAGAGAGAGAGATGGGTTTGTGTGGCTGCGGCTGCGCAGTCGGGTGCAGACGTACCTGCCCTCTACAGGTCCTATGAGGAATCGGCAGTCGGTGCAGTAGTCGACTGTGATGGTGGCCGACCAGTCCAACAGATACACGTCGCAACCCTGATGCATTGGACGCACAGACGGACCAACATGACCATCCATCTCCACACACGCACGCTTCCAATGTCATGCACCCCCCCGCCCCCCCTCCCCTCTCTATTTCTTTCCTACCGTGCAGTCCTCAATCACAAACTGCTGCCCATCTATCGTCCTGACAATGAACACAGCACACACAGAGAAAGAATGATGAAAGATCCACCCATCCAGCCATCCATCCATCCATCCATCCATCCGTTCGTTCCCCCATCGCTCACCCTGCCTCCCTCTCAACGACAGCGTCCTTCCGGTTGCTGAGGATGAAGTCCTCTCTTCTCAGCTTCTTCTTCTGCTGCTGCTGGGACACCGATGCTTGCTGCTGCTGCTGTTGCTGGAGGAGCGGCGCCTGTGGCTGTGGGGTGGGCGCACGACGGAACCAACACAAGATCTGACCCATGACGAGCTGCTGGGAAAGGACTAAAGATCACCTCAGCGGTTTCAAATCCACGGTTTCAAATTTACTGAGGGAGTCGCTTGAAGCCGTCAGAGCCCAGGCGTCCGCGGCTCATCCGTCTGCATCCATGTGACCTCTTTCTGCCGCGCGAAGGAGCTCAGGCCGGCCCGGGGAAGATCGAGACGGGAGCCCCCATCTCGCCCCCTCAAGCTCGCAATCTCGATTTCTATCGTTCACTCCCTCAAGTTGTTTCCACGCCTTTCAGCAATCAGTACCTCCCCCCTCTAAGTTTAGTGAATCAATGAGTGGGGTCGAAGTTGAGGACAGCCCGGAGCGGCTGCAGGAGTCCGAGCGTTTTGGCTCCTCCTACATCAAGTGGGTGGCCACACACACACACACACGGCAGAGGGACGAGTGGGGCACAGAGGGGGAAGGGCGCACAGACGGATTTTGGGCTCGGGGGGGGGGGGGGGGGGGGGGGGGGGGGGGGGGGG